ATTTGAACATGTGTACTTGTTCCCTAATGAATACGTACTACAAGAACAAGCTTTTTGAACATGCTGTCATGTAATTTATGATATGTATATTACAAATATTAGACCAACTATCAATAACGAGACAAATTAGTGATAACGAAGTTTATAACTTGGCATTGCATCTTTCTTTAATCTCATCATAACATGAATCCAAAAAATCATCAATTAATTTATTGGAACTAGACATGAGACTTTCATCTAATTGCAATATTTTGATTGATTTCATCAAGTTTTTATCTTTCACAAATTGTAACATTTTGATTGTGCCAATCAAGTTTGTATTTTTTCTCTCATTAGAATAATGATCACGTGCAATTATAATGATAATGTTTGTTTTTTAAACATTTTCTTGCTTAAAATGTTGATCATTAGTAACAAGAATGATTGTATTGACAACTCGCTATTTGCTTTTTATTTCGTGAGTTTTCATAAAAGTGATGAAGCTCTACGTTTCTTTATATTGTAACTATTCACGTTGATAACTAATGTTCATTCCATTCATTAAATTTTTGAATGAAGCGGAGTTGTTGATTGGAACAATCACACCCTCATTTTTTGTTGGTGTTTCACTTGCAATTGACAATGTTTGCATATTGTTGATTATTTGATGTTCGGTGATTCTTCAAATTTGAATGCTTTTCACACATCGTTGGTTTTTTGTGTTCGCTTTGTAGATGCACATTGATTTGGTAGATTAACAACTTATTCGACTTTGATAGCTTCAATGTCAATAAATTTTACACTTAAAATCACACTAGTAACTTATCTCACTTGCTATTAAATAAAAAAAATGCTGCATCAGAGTACTGTAAAACTTGATTTAAACTTTAAAATTTTAGAATATGATCTTATGTCAATAAATCATTACATATTTTTTAGAAAACAAAATTTTAGCTTATTTGCAAAAAAATTCATGATGTTAATATTGATATAATTTTAGAAAATTTCATCTACCAAAATTAGTTTAAATATTAAATTTACAAATTTATTTTTAATTTTGATATAATTTTAATTTTTTAAATTAAAAAAGTAAGATTATAATATATATAAATATAATATATCATATAAATTTTTAATTCTATAAAATGGGGATTGGGATAATAAATATATTGAACTATCACAAAGGGGATATACATTTATTAAGATATAACAAATATTGAAATTATCAAAAAAATTATCATGAATTTTTAGATCATAGTTTATATTTCTAATTCATTTTAGTAAATTTGGAATATATTTTCATATAAGTTCTAGTAGGTCCAATCCTACGGATAAATAGACAGGAGACATGAGGAATTTTCATTTTAGAATTATCTATTCTAATACATTTCTAATGAAATGGATCTGTATGCTTTTACATATTGGTTTTTCATAGAAGTTTTTTATATTTAAAATTTCATCACAGAGTTTTCATCCCATTTTTAAAAAAATGAACTCTATTTAGTACTACTTTTCATTTTACAATTAACTATAATTGTTCAAGAATTTGAATGACATGATTAATTTTTTTTATTTAGATTTCAAGTTTTCACATATAAAAATTAATATGATTCAAGTTTTATCATTTATTTTCATCTTGATCATTAAATCTTTTATTAAAATTATGTTTTGAAAAAAAATTTCTTGTTAGAATCTGTAAAGATTTCTCTCAATTATTCCCTACAACAGCTACAACTCTAACCTGGGTGGCGTATAGCAGGTTACTCTGGTGCTGTCTGACAAAGGACATATTTTAAGATCTGATTTTGAATAGATTAAAGAATAAAATTATATGCAAATGCGCTTATTTGTATAAACAAGCTTTGCAAAAACGTTTGAACATTATTCTATACAATGGTTGCAAAATTTAAACATTTTTAAGATGTATCATAAATAAAATATCAACTAATATATAAGTTTTTATATTTCTATGCTTTTATCAGAATAAATTACTGCTTAGTTGAAAAATGTTGAATTAAATATTCAAAAAGACACTAATCTTTAAAAAAAGAGCTATCAACAAATGTGTCAAACAATTTTAGAAGATGTGGCATGTAAGAGTCATTATCATAGGCCATGAAATGAAGTTTGTTCATGAGGTTATCAATGACTATTTTTGATTACAATATTTTTAATAGATATACTTTCACATAGCATGATGGTCGCAAAACATGTAGTGAAAATTAAAATAGAGAAGGTAAATCACTTAATAGCATCTAAAATATGTGAAATATCTTAGTTAATAGTTTCAAACATGTAAACATGAGTTTGAGAAAAAAAGAAGGATCGTTTGATAGATTGATAGGCTACTTACCGATGACTCCTAAAATTTGATGTTATATGTTTAAACGCCAGAGTTGTCATAATTAATCTGACAAATGTACCAAAATTAATGTGACACAAAAATTATATATTATGAAGTGAACCACAAGAAATCCCGCACGCAAGAAAGAGGAAGGCGGGTACGGTGAATTTGGGTGGTAATAAGTGCTCATAGTACAGCCTTGAATGCTTACGCTTGAAATCTTTGATGGATTGCAGATCGCAAACCTCAGTGTTACTTTAAGTTTACGAGGAGTGAACGAATAGTTGACTAAATTCTTGGTGGTACGAATTTAGTTGTCAAGTTGCGCACTAAAGAAAGAAAATAAGTAAAAGTAATAATATAGTTCACATACTTTTCATATTTTCTTTTCACATTTATGTAGATGTTTGTTTTAATCATTGTGAGACTTTTCTTGACCATCACAGATGAATCTAAATACATTTCACTTTTTTGCATTCATATCATTTCACGATGAAATTACTCTCTTTAACAAGTTATGAGATTGTTTGAATGGACCATTCATGCATTTGCATCAGTTGTGCGTTGAACTGGGGACATCGTTTTGAAATACTACGTTGGTTGGAAGCGAATTCTCATCATTAAATGGAAAAAAGATGACTTCCTTTCCTTGACGGACTTTACTCATGTGAAGCTATTAAAAACGCTCAAAATGATTATCGCCAATCCATAGAAAAAAATAGTGCATTGACGGTGTTAATGTCAAAATGAAAAAATGAAATTTGCTAGAATTATTTTAATTCTGGCAAACCTGGCATTTAGGAGGACTTTTAAATGTGAAGCTATTGAAAATGCTCAAAACGATTATCGCCAATCCATAGAAAATAGTGAATTGACGGTGTTAATGCCAACAATGCCAAAATAAAAATGAAAAATTTGCTAGAATTATTTTTATTCTGTCAAACCTAGGAGGTCTGCCTTATACTCTATAGTTCTACAAAATTGTCAAACATGTAAAGTGAAGCTTTATCAAATATATGTGTTTTAAATATAGTTATTTTATAATATAAATTAAACATCATAACTTTTTGTTAATAAGGGAATTGATATTTGATTTTCAGTAATTTTAGAGATTTTATTCAAATTAAACATATGGGTTGGATTGGTTTTTTCAAGACTTTTACTTTTATTTTGTCCGATGTCATTCAAATTTAATAACTTTCTTTTGAAAATTCTATTGAAAAATTACCATTGTGGTTTGACTCATATGTACTCATATGTGGAGTGATGAAGAGATGTATGCTTTCAAGACATAGAAAGAGATGCATGATGTACCCTATAATGTCAAAATTATTTGTTAATGATACATAGAGTTTTTGTTAATTTGCTGAATGTAGCTGAGTTATACATTCTGTTATATATACTATCTATTTTGCAAGGTCTGACCTACATGTGGCGAAGATCCAGGAATATTATGAATAGACCATTATGGATCTCCATGTGAGAAAATTAATCACACCGATATGTCACTTTAGATATCAAAGACATTGGATATACTTTCATCCATGAACATTATAGGTATAGCTAGCAGAACATTGTTGTGGTTAGCATATCAATCACGTTAAATTTTAGGGGTTGTTGAGTCCAGAAAACCTTGTTCACTTTTGTTACATAATCTCATCCTTCGACTTCATTCCGTCGCTATATTGCTTTTGCCTACCACATTGGGTAGGTTGACATTGAGTTGTATGGACAAGCTAGCGGAATTTATGATTATATTACTTCTACAGTGACATGCGTTACTGACATGGAATGACTGCCGTGCTGAACCAAGAAATTTCTCAGCGAAATTCAGGAGATTATGCGATGGAGTTTTGATCATTTTAGATGGAATGTGTATCCAAGCCACATAAATGAAGATTCGAATAGAACTGCATGATACATTTGAGTCAGCTCGGCTAGTACGACGTAGGACGTTAGAATAACTTGAAGAGTGCAATTCAGTTTTCATTAACTTAGATTGGTAAGAAGTCTAATCAATGCAAGTTGCAACTTTTTTGTTGGCTAGCACTGTGTCTATGCGAGATAACGAAGAATTGTGTTTGACTTTGAGTTGCAGTCCTCTATGTTTTTGTTTCTTTCCATTATACGAATATAATGGAAAAGAAAACTACAGAAATTTTGTTTGTGACTATTGGAGATGTGGTTGGATTTATTTATTGTAGAAATTCGAAGTTTTTGTCATTTCCATATCATGAGAAGTCCTTGTTGAGATCGTCGGAGGTAGATGATGTACTTTAATTCAGTGACTCAACTGAACACCATTGTTGTAGTCAAGGAATATTTTCAATAGATAAGGTTCAGCATTGGAGCTATAAATATCACAACTTATATGGTTATATTGTGACTTTGCAATAAACCGAGTACAATATCTTGCTTGAAATGTCGCAGACAAATCCACTACGTAAAGTATATGAGTAGAGCAGAGTTGGGTGAGCAGCCCATGGACTCCGGCAAAAGGAGCATGAAACGTAGTCAAACTTAGAAGACGCAACTAAATAAAGAGGCAACTAATGTAGCAAGAAGGAAGGGAAGAACTTTCGGGCCGGACATAGATGAAACCCAACGTGTAAGATTGGACTAGTCCCAACAGTGGGAAGTATAGCGACAATCGCAGCTAAATGTAGCTGATGTCTAGAGCATCATGAAAATCGGGACCAGCCGGGCGGGAAGGTCGGAGCTTGTGGGCGAGCAAGCGTCGATTTCAAACACGAAAGTCGTAAAAACGTCGAGCTGACTCGAGCACAAATAATCTGACCACTGACACCTGATTTCGCCAACATTGGCAGCATCGTCGTGAAATCAGCACACATTGTGTTCGCGTTTCTACGTCCACGCTGCAAGGTTAGAAAATAGCGCTTGATGCTTTTAAGGTTAAGAGAGTTCTGAGTGTATTTTGCCTTCGTCAATTTCTGTCGCACTGTGGGAATCACTTGTTTCTAGGAACTGCAATTTTCTGTCCGCGCCTCAACCTAAAGGTTTCGGGACGTAGCTTATCTGCGATTCTTACGAGTGTAAATTTGGGGGAGTGAATTAATTTGGATTCATTCTGGGGACGACTCAATTTGGAGTAATGTAATTAAAGTCGTTAATCTGACTGCAGTCTCTTCTGAGAGTTACGCTTTGAAGTAGTAATTTGAGAGCATTGAGTCGAAATACTGGTCAATTTCACCTGGTTTGCGATGTACGGGGGAGGTACGATTTTCCGGACCCGAATGGCCTTTTTGCTAGATCTTCTCATGCTTGTGATAGTACTGCCGAAATTGTACAAATTTTGTAATTGTTGTACATTTGTTTCATATGTATAATGTAGATATTCGTATCTGCCGGAATTTTTCATGGAGACCATGTGGCTGGAATTGAAAAAACACTTAGAATTTGACATATTCATTTTGTACATTTGTGTGTCCTCTTATGCACCAACCAGGAAGTAACTTCAGCTGGTTATCCTGTAAACCCTTTTGACTTTCAAGAAGAACTCTATACTTCTTTTTGGTAATGAATGCTTTTCTCTAAAGGATGTGTTTTGGTTTTGGGAATTTATTTACAGACGAAGTATCAGCCATTGTTTTGGATCTGGGCTCGCATTCTTGCAAGGCTGGATATGCTGGTGAAGATGCCCCGAAGGCTGTACTTCCTTCGGTGAGAATTGTTTCTGAACTCCATCCTTTCTTAAAGATCACAGAAATTACCTGTGTTCCATCCGTGGTGACAATGTATCAATTTCGTGCGTTGCTGTTAATGTCCACAGAAAAGTTTGCATAGTCTCAAACCAGATTCATCTCGTGGACGTTCTGACTGACAGTCTCTTGCTTTCAGCAGCCATCTAGATATTCCGTCTGAATAGTTTCAATTTCAATTGCAATACGGATCGAAGCATCGGAGTTACTGAGAATAGTGTGACGTAAGTTTGACTGAAGTAAATCGATATATTGTTTAATTTTCACATGTTGGTATCATGACAGTTGGTGGGAACCATGGATCCAATGTATCTGCCACAAGAACCAGAACAACCTGCTAAGATGGGTGTAGATGGGGACAATAACAATGCTGTCGACCCAAAGACAGGCAAACCTGTCGAAGCAGCTGCAAAGAAATCTACGAGAAAGCTTTACACAGGGGTTCAAGCCATGGGCTACCGTCGGGATCACATGGAGGTATACTTCTATGCGTCTTGACCTGAGGCCTCCTTCAGCTTTCTTCAGTGTCCGCCAGGGTGCTGGTCAATAAGTGCTTCTCCAATAGTAAGAACAGACGTGGTCACGTTGTTGGTTAGATAGTTAAAACATATGAGATGTAAGTGTATCTTGAATTTGGAAACTGTTTGCGAACGATTTGCAAAGCATCATGGTTAAATCGAAATAGTATTTCGTCTCATCCTGCAAAGTCTCATTACTGCCAACATTTGAGCTATAGTTGATTGTAATACTAGCATCGTGCCTTAGAGATGAAAGGTTTACATCTAACATGGCATATCTGCAAGCGTCATTCGCCGGTTTTTGTACACATGCCTGCGTTTTAATTGTAGATACATGCTACATAACAACGGTCATCTCGAGTGTCATTATTTAGAAATTTGTTCTGCTCTTTAATTTTTAAGTTACTCAAATTGTAGCAGTGTAGCAGTTTTCGTTGAGTCCTTTGTCACATGAGTCAAGTTTCAACCTGCTGAACCAGGTAGTACCAGCCCTGAAGGATGGCTTGATCAATGATTGGGAAGTTGTGGAGAGCATTTGGGATCACACATTGAGGTATTTGCTACAGTTTACCCACTATCTTATTATTTCCAAGGGCACCTACATTGAGATCAAGTAACAGTAAACTGGAAATTTGGTAGTACACGGCAGTGATATAGCTTCTTGCAAATACGACTGTAATGTACTGATTTCTGGCCTGATCGTGTGTTGTCGGCGTCGTCACTGGCAAGCTTTGCACCTTGGCATATGTATAATATGTTCGTGTTTTCCAAATAGTCTGGAGTTAACCACGTGGGGTATCAAGACCTTATCCAGTTTGTACCAGTATGTGGCAGAAAAGACTCCATCCCCAAGATGGAAGTGGTTGTTTTTGGAACGTAAGCTACTTTTGAGAGACTGCTGTGATTAGGAGTATGCCACGATGAATTTGACAACAGAGCATCAGCGTTGCCTTTTCTTCTGTGCAGAGAACGTCTAATGATTGACCCGAAGGAGCATCCAATGCTCTTAGCAGAGCCATCTTTCAACACACCCCAACATAGAGAAAAGTAAGATGGGACGTCATATGGCTACAACTGCTGTCTGTCGTTACAACAGCCTGGTCGCTGTATTCGATCTCTTAGTGTTGTTGATTCACTTGGTTTGGTTTGGTTGCAGGATTGTGGAGTTAATGTTTGAAAAATACCAAATTCCCGCATTATTTCTTGCAAAGAATGCGGTGAGTTATCTCTCAATCCCATTGTTTTAAACGGAGAATCAACTCCAATGCTCTTCTCTTTTCCAAACTAACTTGAAGTTGAAGAAACTAAAGACGACTTCTATGTACATGATAAGGCAATAATATGTTACATATTATGCTGGATCAAAGTTCTCTGCCCTCTTTGTTTCAGAATTTTGTTCAAAAGTACCTTCCATTTACTGCTTCTGTTCTATGTCAGTGGAGATGTGCGTTTGTGCCTTGTGACAATATTGTTTGTACTCGTTTCTTGGCAGGTGCTCACATCATTTGCGTCTGGACGAGCTACATCATTAGTTGTGGACTGGTCAGACTGTATACCTGGTCCGTTGCTTTATTAGAGGTCTCCTCGGCTTTGTGGTTAGACTGTGGTTTTGTTTGAATGATTTATACTGCAGATAGATATGCCACCTTCCAATTGTCAAATAGCTTGATATCATTTTGTCATGTGGACTTCAATTGTTCGTTGTCAAACCCAAATGTTCTAGTTAGAAGTCCGCATCTATCCTGTCTTTTTACAAGAATAATCGGTGAATTATACGGAATTTCAGTATCTACCATGCATGAATTACTACTTCTACATTGCAAATGTTATATTAAAAACAGCTATTGGAAGTACAGAAGCTTACCTTATCTCATACGGACAGGCTCTGATATTTCTAACCTACAACGCCTAGTCTGTCTTCAACTTAGATGAGTGCTTAGTGTCAGGGCATTTGCCAAATTAATCTGTTTCTTCCAGAAGGCAGCGTTTTCAAGCTTCATGTAGTTCCTGTGAAGATGCCTTGAAGAATACATTTTTCCTTCAATCCAGATACTCTTCCAGCTTGTTCAGGTGGGGCAAGAGTATGTTGTACTCGTTGTCTCCAAACCTACGAGATTGACCATCTTCTCTCTAAATGTGTCTTCCTTTAAGGTGTCTAATCTCTATCTCCCACTTCTTTACCGTCTTTTCCATCTACTCTTTCTCTGCACACGAGAACAGCTCAGCCAGGTCGCGTTGTCCTCAGGCTATGACAGACACACTAATGAATACACTTCTTCAGCACAATTTTGTTGACGCTCCAATTTGTCTGATGGTGGTGTAACAGTGGGGGTGGTTCTACAACAGTAGCGGCAGTTCACGACGGGTATGTGCTGCAAAAGGTATCTTCCTGCTCTCTAACTTTTTATTTGAACAGATCTAGGCATCAAAATTGTGGGGTATAGACATTACACCCATGGACCCGAAAACTGGATTGCTTTACCTCACCCGCATGCTGCTGTCGTCAACTTTGTAAATCTTGGCCATTCACTACAGGAGGTGTCAGAATAATGTTCAAATCAAAACCAGAACATAAGATACTTCTTGCAAGTCCTCAGATGGTCGCAAAGTTCAAGATATGTGGCACTTCCTGTTCTATATGGAGCTTGTGTAGTCTTTATTTTTCTGTATGATGATTTATGTTTTGGTCTTGTGATACAGGCTATTGTGCGATCCCCAATCGGTGGGGAGTTCTTGACCGACTGTATGCTGAAGGCGCTAGAGGGCCGTGGAATCGCGGTAAGTACTGAGGATTTTTCGGTTCTGCTTTAAGTTTAACCCTCATACATTTCTTTTATAATCATTTCATCACCACTTGGGCTGTGATAAAATCAGTACCTCGAATGGTCTTTCCTGCCTCAAAGTTTACTTTTTGACTTGAAAGTGTGCCAATCTCCATATATGAATGTGCAGATCAGGCCCCGTTACTCTTTCAAACGTAAAGAAGTCCGACCCGGGGAGTTTGAGGTTTGTCCTTCTCGACTGCAGAGGCTAAGATTCTCAGTTTTGTCTGTATATAACCTGATTTGCTTGGAGCCATGGTGTGTTGAGATAGCACTGGTTTGGTACTTTGCATCGTGTCGATGGCGTTGAATATGGAGACTACAAGAACTGACCACCAATTTTATAACTGCTTATAACCAGTTGACAAACGTGGACTTTCCAAATACTACGGAAAGCTACAGAAGATATATTCAGAGGGCAATTGCAGCAGATGTGAAAGAATCTGTTTGCCGTGTACCCGATGGTCTGTTTGAAGGTAACATGCTTACCAGAGGAAGCTTTAGTATCCAAATTAATACTTCTCCAAGATTTTTGTGAAGACGAGATTGCCAAATTCTATGTAAACGCCCTTGTCATGGAACATACGTTATGTATATAATTATGTGTTTCCTCTTTTGCAGAGAGTTCTTACGCAAACATTCCTACAACCCCGTACGAGCTACCGGATGGGCAGTATGTATTCACCATTTGTTCAACTTACAAGCGTTTTCGTAATTCAGTTGTCGACAGTAAAGTTGCAGCCGTTTATATACACTTTTGTAAGAATTATACAGGGCAGTCTGATGCTTGGCTCCTAATAGCTGATGATTATAACTCGTGTTCAGAACAATTGAAGTCGGGGCGGATCGCTTTAAAATCCCTGACTTGATGTTTAATCCGGCTCTCGTTCAAGTAGGTCTAAAAATCCAAGACTCTACGTCTTTATACCAAAGTGTGTCCAGTGATTGCTTATTTTTTCAGCCATTTACATTGATATAGATTCTGGAGTAACTAGGCATGCATTTGATGTTGGCTCTATGAAATATGCGCTCAAGTCGGGGCTTGATTTTGATTTGCATACTTTATGTACAGACTATACCTGGAATGGAGAAGTTCACAACAGAAGCGGGAGCTTCAGTTAAAGGACTTCCACAAATGGTTACTGATCTCACTCCTTTTGTGCTTGATGTGTACTAATGAAAACCAAATTGCATTGCCTATGCTGAGTAGTGATCAATACGTTGGGTTTTGTACGTAACATACGAGCTTGTTAGCAATATGTGGATCTCATTGAAGCTATCATTTGCAGGTGATAGAGAGTATAAACAAGTGTGATGTTGATATACGAAGGGAGCTCTTCAGCAGTATACTGGTAAGGTTGATGCAAGTTTGACTGGTCAATTTTTGAACTCATTGTTTATTTCAGGCTGAGTTTCCAGTTTTTATTTTGAGTCTGACGTCATATTCTTTTTTTAATCGTCATGCTTTGCAATGCAGCTTGCTGGAGGAACTGCGGCAATGCAACAAATGAAGGAGCGGCTGGAAAAGGATTTGATTGAGGTCATTTTGTTTGGAGTTTGTTTTAAATTCCTAGAAGCACTGACTTTGAAAGTTGTTATGTAGTTTCAAGTACATGGTTTCAAGGTTTAAAACAATTCTGTTTCTAGGTTTTATTTCATGTCTGAGGGGTACATTATGTGCGTATTGCTTGTGTATATGCCAGAGTTGCTCTTGATAAGTTGGGCAAAGTTCCATATCAAAACTTCAACTACCCTTCACCTCTCATTGAACTTTTTAACGCTTGTTGATGCAGGAAGCGCCCCAAGCTGCAAGGGTGAAAGTTCTTGCCAGCGGTAATGCGATTGAGAGACGATTCAGGTTCGCATATCTGAATGTCTTTTGCTTCTTCGTTATAATTATTTTGTCTCTACATCGGATTTTCGCCTCACTCCTGTTATCCTCTGGGATTCTGACATTTACTGAAACGCTTCGTGCTGCTCGATGAGCACCATTTATAATCTAACTCTTAGGATACTGAAGATTCCATAAACATCACGTAGGTCAGGTACTCTGAACTTTGATACTTTGTATCTCTCTTGGAGCAGTGTTCTCTCACGCTTCTATTTATGAAGTCCCTGGCCCTTTTTAGTTATCTTTCCATTCTACTTGTGGGGTGAACAAAAACTAGTTCGGTTCCTATCTCGACAGCCGTAAATTATACAGCTGGTGCATTTCATTGTAGTTGTAGAGAACTGCGACTGGTTTCAGTCAAAACGAACACAGAGCTAGTTAGGGAGATGCACTTCAAAATCTAGGATATCACATTGGGGTGTCCGATGGACTCTGGGTGCAGTATTGTATCGAGTATCTCTAGCCGTGAACTTGTTACTTGTTAAGTACGAAGTAAAGGCTGAACATGGTATAAAGAATTCTATTTTGACTGAAGATACATGTGCAACCATTTACATCCGAATAGAAGTGAAACCATAGGAAAGGGTATTCATCAAGTGCGGCATGGAGGGAACCCGCAGAGATTTTATTTAATTTCTGAATTTTTTAATTTAGAATTAGGTAATGAGTTGGCTCTGTCGGATGTTAATGCGGACCTTGCCATTTTCTGGTCAATTGATACATAATCGTGTTTGTGTTCTCAGTGTTTGGATAGGAGGAAGTATCTTGGCCTCTCTTGGATCATTCCAGCAGATGTGGCTCTCCAAGTCGGAGTAAGTTAGTCCTCAATGAAAATTATGTCTGGACGAGAAAGTTTTCTTCAGTACTAAATGAATGGAGATGAGCCTCTGGATCAGCTGACATTTTTTCCCCGCTATCTGGTCTTGATGAGATTTGTAAGATTTGCATGCATTTCTTTTCTAGTTGGTTTGACCGTCGTGGAATCACAAATGAAAGCAACATCCCCTGTATTCCCATGTGAACTCTCTGACATTAAGCATCATCACTGGATTTCTGTTGTTTGTAGGTTTGAGGAGCACGGCGCTTCTTATGTGCACCGGAAGTGCCCTTAGAAAACTTGTGTCGAGTAACAGTTATTGTCTTTGGCTGTAGAATTACATACTATTAGAAGTTACTTTCGACGTCGAGAGTCTGCTCATTTCCTTGGTCTTGAACAAAAGAGCACAATCTCAAACGCTTCAATAGTTGAGGTGCAAAATGCGGAGTAGACATCTTTCAGTAGATTCCTTTGGTTTTTCCTCTATTCGAAGGAGTCTCTTGAAGACGGTGCTGCGAATTTGCGACGAAGCTTTATTCAGTTACTTACGAAATTTATTTCAACCTATCATGGGCTGTTTCTTTATGCACTGCATCACTGGACAGTTTTATTCTGATGAAATATACAAGTTTCAGCCTGCGCTTCCTATCTGTGTTTGTACTTTTGAACTACTTATATTCGCGTTTGTGGACTGCACGTTACCTCCAGCATTTCTTGCGTAACTGATAAATGTGTACTTGGATTTCCATGAAGGAATGCCGAAGATGCTGGTCTTAAACGATCAGATTTCCATTTGTTAAGGATGGAAGATTCATGAAAGGTGGAAATCATCTTTTGGTGTAACCGCCGCATGTGTTCTTATCCTCTTTGACTTGGACTTCCGAATATCGATTTCCGTTGTGATCAGAGCTTTGAATATCAGTGTACTTTCTTTCATGGTTGTCTTAGTTACCTACTCCTATATGATGACTGTGAAAAAGGAGACGCATAGAAATTTGACTTAATCTTGGATTCTGGGCTTAATGCTGGATGGAGCGTGCATCGTCTCATCACGTTCGAAGTCTCAGCACTTAACTGTAGTAAATTTCTTTCTATCCACCAACTGCAGAATTTGCGGTGGCGGCGGGTTTCAGTCGAAGGTATAGAGTAATGCCAGCAGCAACATCAGTTTTCCTAGTTCTTTAGGTTCTTAGATCCATGCATTGCAGTGCATGGATGCGACCTTGATAGTGTCTTGCAAATTTAGGATTCACCTGTGGTTGACACTGGCTTCTCGGTCAGCACAAGTGAACTTAACAGGTAACGTTACAGAAAATATCGGAGGTTTAGCAAGATTTGTCAACTGTATAAGATGGATAATCATCCACTAGGATGATAAACTAATGCGGACTCTCTCAAGGCAGCCTACGAGCATCCTATCTTCTACTCTAAGCAGGCAATGATAAGACAATGACGATGCAAAAGACCCTCCTCTACAACCCGGACGGCGATAACGGATCGGTCAAACAACCGCTGCCCCGAGGAAACACATCAGCTCATACGTATATAAATGTACGTGCAAAGTACAATTTTAGGTCAAATCATGCATCGTCAATGGCTTCTACGTTGGATCGCCAGATTCACCGTCAGCTGAATTTTCGGCTACTACATACCGTCAAACAAGAACATAGTCTGGTGCAAAGAGTCAACTGATCTGAGAAAAATATGAGACCACGATATAAACGTGGGAAAGCCGTCAAGTAGACGATGCGAAGTTTAGGGTTGTAGAAGAAGAAGTTTTATCAAAGTTTGTTAACCTAACCTCGATGGATTGACACTAAAATGTTGTAACGCTAGTGTTGAACACACAGATAGCGCAAGACAGTGAGATCATGCCCTTGTTCAGTCTTACGGGTGTGATTGCAATCGTCGTAAGATTTGTGTGAGTTCCAATTGCTTCAAGCAGATCCAAGGAACTCAGTAGAGATCACCTCAACTTGTTAGTACATCCGAATACAGGAGGGAATTAATAAGAAAGAAGGCGAAGGTTCAACTGTTTGTGGTATCACATTACTGAGATAAACTAGTGAAGTGATGTAAAAAGTGATCATGCAAGTAATTTTGGAAATACTCTTAAATCTGGTAATTTTATGTGAATTCTATGTATATAACTCAGATTCAAATATATGTGAGTGATTATCCTAAAACTAATCTCTAAAGTCCTGATCACACACGCATGTTCAAGGTACTTATAAACATTTTTTAGTTTTTTCTTAAAAGCATGTTTCTTGTTAGGGGAAGTGAATTATATAAACCCGTTGCAGAATATCCGGGTCTTGTAGTAATTATTTAAAATGTGATTTCTACTGCTTGGATTTCATGAACATAAATTTCTAATCTTTATCTTCCTCGGATAAATCAGAAATTTGTGCAAATTCTGCGTTGTGGCTTCCGGAAGAATATGACAAATATACCCATTTGTGTCTATACAGGAGTGAATTTGATCTGGATCTAAATCGAAATGATTGAGAAAAACTAAAGACGACATTCAAGAGAAGAAGAGCATACCGCATTATCACAAAAACAATTGGAAATACGAGTCATTCTCTTGCAGAATTACACTTTAATGAGTTATGAAAACTTATGTAAGCAACGATGACGTGGAGATGGGTTCCGACGGATGCGCTGCCATTTGAGAAGGGGATTATTTTCCTTCGGTATAGAAGAAATTGAAAGTTTGTGGACCCTTAAGTAAATCGACATCTATCGACCTTATTTATTTAGCATACCGTAGTCATGTATTTCTAGACTCACCAAGAATGTCATCGGACGAACTTTAGGTCTCAAATAGTTCTAATCTCCATTGATTGGAGCCTGTTTCAACTTAGTGTGTCAGAAACAGCAAACCAAGTACAGTAACATGTATAGAAGATTTGTTGAAATATGTATACTTCTATACTTAAGGATTTATCAGGTTCATTTATGATAATGTTTATGTCGAGCACGCTGCATCAACTTTATAGGAATATAAAAAAAGAGCTCGAAGATACATTTAGTTTGAGAAAACGAAAATAGTCCCTGAAGTAATTCGGAGCTTCCCACATCTTTACACACACACAATCTCGAGAAATTGACAGTTGACGGGGAAGGCTAAAGGTCTGACCTAAGAAAAGAAAAAAAAGATAAAACAAAAGAGCAGGTTAACTCTTTGACGTGATAAATGAATCCAATTACTTTTTTTGAATAAAAGCCAAGGAGAGAGGATTTTGGAGGATGGTGATCTATTGATAATCCGAATTCGGAAACATCCTCATCGACACTTTTATTCTTGAAATCGCAAGGAAATCATTGTGAGACACGGGTGAACCAATGAGAAACCGAATAGCAGTCTCTGCATAAATAAAATAATGAGAGCACCGTATTCATTCTTAAAGTTCGGCATGGAGCATCATGGCAGGTCGTGCACGGTACAATAAAGCAATTACGCGTAGAAAAAGATGACAGTACAGTATGTAGCACTGGGCATGCAGATACGGATCTCATCAGCTTCTGGCCAGTCACAGCAGGTTTTGCGGCATGGGATGGCGGTGGCTGATAATGTCTTGAATGTCCGCTCTTTTCTCGTTAACTTTCAATGATAGACCTTATCGACCATCTGTATCGTGAATTGAATTTCCTCTGAAAATATCGCCCTCTTGTACTCTGACCATGGCTACTCTACAAATGCGCCCATTGCCACAGAGTTGAAATTTTACTGTAAATGCGCATCCTCAAAGCGAAGCAAACCGACGAATGAACTCAATCTTTCGTTTACGAGAAGGTTTTGGGCTGCGCGTAATATTTGGCACGCTTTAAGTCCACTCAACATTTAATGATAACCAGAATCCAAATTCAAGATGTCCAGTCATGGTTATTCTAAATTATCTTAATTACGTCGGGGAAAAAATTAATTTAGTAACTTTGGTGTGAAAAGTAATTTCGATTACACTTGAGAAAGACTGATTGGTTATGCAGTAACGTATAAAGTCATCATCAAGTAGGGCTTGCATTCGAGCTTTAAAGCTAGACAAAAGTTATTTTACAAATTTCAGATCAAATTATAAAACTGAAATGGTAACAAGTTGTTTCATAACTACAATTTTGATGCTTCAATTCTTAACCAATTACGGAGTAGATGTTATGGTTACTTTAGGCCCTAGACAGAGCACCACTTTAAAGTATTTAGGTGTAATTCCGTATCGGTCGCCTAAAATAACCATGACTGGAGATGGCCATTCAATCTATTTTCTACTTATGTGAGCCACACCTAAACGAAAAACATTGCAGTGTGTAATTCTAGTGGGAAGTGTAAAGTACATTCTTGCATTGTAGTTTGACCTACTCATCATCCATGAGAGATACGTGGAATAGCAAATATATGGATATTATGACTATATGGACATTTCACATCTTTGTTACTGTTGTTGTAATCATTACAATTGTACTAAATATGTTTTCGTGGTATTAAAAGATTTAGTTATAATTCTGTTTCGACAAAGTTCTATTTCCATGTTTTTTTATTCAATTATACACTAGAATTTTCTAATTAATATGATGAAGCTTCCTATTGATTCAAATGCATCCACATCTTGATTGTGCATGTTCAGTGGGTTGATTTACAAATATGATCTACAAACGACTAGTTTTCACCTGATTCAATCTCAAATTCAAAGTTAAACTATACCTATCCAATGACAAAATAGTAAATGTGAAATTTTACAAGTTTTATTTCATATGAAATAGATGCATCATATGCAATGCAAAATTACCCTAAGTTGCAATTATTAATATATGTTCAAAATGTAAGGGCAAAATATATTCTAAAGGTTGATTATTTTTAAAATTGTGTTTGAATAGTATGAATTGTTACATGAAATTTTTCGTATATTCAATCTTTGAGTTTGAATTTGTCATCATGTATCTTATATATTTTTTAATATTATAATTTACTAAAACATAAATATCGAATTTATAATTAAAATTGGATAGATAATTAATATTTTTATGAATATAATTTTATTAAAATTTTGATAATCGTAAATGTAGATGAGGTTAAATATAATTACATTTGAAAATTTTAACCTACAAAATGATATTCATTAAGCTAATTTTAAAATTTTAGAAAATAATTATAAGAAATTCTAAAATGCTTTAGGATTTAACTTAAATATATTTCAAACCGAATAAAAGAGGTTTTGAAAGATATAACTAAAATTTTCAAAAATTTAATAAAAAAAATATTCTTTTACAAATTGAAATTAAAATATTTTAAATTTGATAAGAAGTATATAAAAATTTATACGTCCATACAAACTATGAAAACATTTTTAAAGACTTGAAAATCAAATGCAATGTACAGTTGAAACAATTCTTCACGAGTAAAATTTTGAAGTTTAATAAGTAAATAACGTTTAACAATGTTCATTTTTTGGGTATAAAGCAAGATTGATAAGGATAAGATGTGTTCATAGACATCAATAAAAAATGATAAATATATAGTTATATTTAAAAACAAACATTAGATTTTTAATCTTCATTTTGAAAATGGTTTTTTTAAATAAAATATTTATTGTGATTAAAAATATAACCAAAAAAAGAATATCAATTTATTTGTATTTGTATAATACAAGGTTGTTATTGATTTAGTAATTTAGAAAGATATACAAGAAATTTCATGATACATTTTTAATATTTGGATTAAGTATGAGGACTTTCAGTTAATGAGTGTTTCAATCTCAACTTCTGATTAGATTTCAAAATATTTTATGAAGAAATGGACAAATTCATGGAATTTTTGTGATAGTTTCAAATTTTTATGGTTATGTATGTGCATGAGATGTCATTTTAAGTGTAAGGCCACACAATTATTATGGTTATTTCATGATCAATATCATTCATTGTGTGATAAAAAGTCGTAATCTAGCATAATTTGCTATCAATGTTTCAATTTTTGATCTTTTGAAAACAAACCTCCATTCAGATGATTTTTATATTAGCTTTGTTTAACTAGGTTGTTACATAATTAATAAGTCGTGATCAATATTATTTTTGTAAATAGAGAAAGAAAAATTCATGGATATGCATAGGAGGTTGTAATGTATTTGAAACACTACGACCTATATTTATGAATAATGAACAGTTTTTCGAACCTGCATCCATCATTAGAGAATAGAGATCAAAACATTTGAAACAATTTAATATCCTTCTCTAATCCTAAACTAATCTAAAAAACAATTGATTGCTGCTTTCTCTGAACCTCCAAGAAAAGCAGAAAAAGGCTCGAATAATATGATCTCTCCGTCACCCTAGAATAAAAATCTCTATAAACGATCTCTTACTTCTTGGTCTGTGAAGATGCGTTATTAGGTGCTCCATTTTTCACATCTTCACCTTGAATGTCAACTTCAACCTGTGCTCGAAAGATAGTCATCCATACACTGATAAGGTATGTATTGATTTTTCCGAGAAGAGAGGAGCTCAATGGGTCCTCCTTGGACCGCCCAGATCCCACGAGTGAGTGGCAGTTAAATCTCCACTTGATCTCACCTGAATCGCCCCATCTTATCCTCTTTCAATTTGAAAGAGTATAAGATGGGGTACCAGTACGTATGGGAGAATCTATGAACTATCATCAAGATTTACTGAACACAAAACATGGCTGAAGCAGAAAGATAGAATACAAAAAGTTTCCACTTTTCAACTTCAGCTGACACTAAATGCAAGTGACACAAAAGTTGGAGCATAATGTCAAATGCAAACACAAGAAGAGTTTTTAAAATAAAAATGAAAGGAGAATTGATCGTGATGTTTGGATCAAAGTATATTTAAAATATCTAAAGCAATCTTGTATCCAACATGATGGAGGTACACACTGATACACTACTTGAGTCAAGTTGAATTGACACAAATTGACATTAATATCTCACAGACAATTTTTACATAGATTGTTTTGATATTGGTATGTTCAAGTAGATCATATCAAGGTTAAAATCTATCAGTATAGTAGCATCTGGTTTTTTTACTAACATTGAGGTTTAAAATCCTAAGACAATTTTTATATAGATTGTTTTGATACTGGTATGTTAAAGTATATCATATCAAGGTTAAAATCCATCAGTATAGTAGCATCTGGTTATTTTACTAACATTGAGGTTTAAAATCCTAAGACAATTTTTATATAGATTGTTTTGATACTGGTATGTTAAAGTATATCATATCAAGGTTAAAATCCATCAGTATAGTAGCATCTGGTTATTTTACTAACATTGAGGTTTAAAATCTTAAAACCATATGTGTCAAAGTGACACACCAATTGCTTAGACTATATTGGATTGGTAATGATTAATATAATTAGATAGGAATAATTGAGTAGATTATAAGAATGATGTTAGCTACACAATGTCAACTATGAGAATCTAATAATTGGAGTTCACTCTTTAATTACGAGATTCATCAACGAAGAGTGAATTGAAATGAAATTGTTGGTTTAATATAAATATAGATATGCATTCTACTACATATATAAAGAATGAAGCAAGTATTGCCAATATTGTAAGTTTATAGATATGACATATTCTTATGTAGCTTTGGATCTATATAAAATTAGGTTAATATTAAAGGTAAAGTAAAGATAACATTAGGTATCTTGTATTTGATGTAATTGGATGATTCTTAATATGAGCATATTTCACGTAACCTATCAAATCAACACATTGTTGCATGGCATCCGGCATGCTTCATGTTACAATTTCATCATGATGCAACTGGATCTAGTTTTCTAATTACCCTTGGTTTTTTCTTTTAAAGAAACTTATGAATTTTTGAAATTTTCAACCGTTCACAACAGCTTTTCACCAAATGATTGACACTGTACTTTTCCAATTTTCTAAGACTTCACTTATTTCCTGTCATTACAGTTGAATCACAGGATATAGGTATAAAGAGGAAGGAAGATGATTAAGAAAAAGAACTAAGTTCCAAGGATAATGACTCCGAGGAAATATTGAAAGAAAGTCACCAAATGGAATCATAAGTTTATTTTCAACAGAAAAACGGTAGTGTAATTTGTAGCATGTTCAAGAAAAACGATGAAGAAAGATAGTTGAAGAAGAGATCCGAATTAACCCTGTGTCTTGTGTGAAAATATATCATGTCTTGTGTGATCATTTTGTTACCAACCCCTTGCAAATTCTCTTCTGGAATGTAAAATCAGAACGATGTGTTCTTGAATATCTTGAGAGTAAGTATCAGCACCTATCATAGAGAGAAAAGAATCACACATGACTGCAAGTTCCAAAGAAAGATAGATATGTCAACTATCACTAGAGTTTTAAGGAGATTAGCAGATAAGTATCGTACTATACTATCATCCACCAAATTGCAACTCTGCAAATTTATTTCTGCGATTCTCTCAAGAAGAAGTCAAATAAGAAGAGGGAAACCTGAAAAGAGATACATAGTAAGAACAACCGCATGATAACTGAGCAATTTGATCCATGTCCTCGGAATATCCTAAATAGTAGGACTAGGACCAAAACAAGAAACAATCAGCCCTAAAACAGGAACCTAATCAGGACATTTGAGATACGCTCCGTTACCATGGATTTCAAATTTGATTCGAGACTCGCATCTCTCGCAACCCCGAGTCTCTACTCTCAACGACATACGTGCCGTGGCTGTTTGTACCTCCAAAGTTTAAACTAAAACTCGTGCGCGTGCAAGAACTGAGCCATGCAACCTTTAAGAACATACTCATTCTATCGCGAGTGTCTTGACGGTACAATGACCACAGGTGACTGTGGACTGGAAGTGGCGGATACTCTGGATTTACGTGAATGAGTGGACTCGATGGCTGCTTTTGGGGTCTGAGGAAAGACATATCTGCTGACATTTATCCACTCCACCGAGATCTGTTCTCGGTGTGGATGGCTTTTTAATCCATAATGAAGAGTTGAAGGAAGAAATCATTACTCTATGTTCCGCTTTCTCTTCTACCTCCAATCATCAGGGTTCTGGAATCGGGACATTCTCCCTTTGAACCGGTCCCATGGGCAGTTTGTGGTAAGAGCGAACAGCGATCGCCTGGACAAGGTAAGATGCAGTTGATGTCTTCACAATGAGTCGGTCAATTGATTTTACGTCTTTGTGATACCACTGATCGAATTTACTATAATTTCGAAAGTTGAAAATACGAGAAGTAAACCATGAATCTTTAGAGTTGCGGGTTACAGTCAAGATTCCTAAAAGTAGGTAATCGATTTTTGCGATGGCTTAAATGTCATTATTTCAGTATAGTCCTAGCCTTATGGCAGTGGAATTTGAGTTTATTTCGCGCCAGTTTTCATGGCGGTATCGACTTCTGAATCAAGTACAGTATTGTGAGAAGTCGTATGTGATCCATTCTTGACATCTAGCATAAAGCCTTCTTTAACGTTTGCTTCAGTACTTTTTCACTCTTTCTCGAATGATTTTGTTTTTGAAGGAAATATGGAAAGGGGAGACTTCGGAAGGGAACGAAGGTGTTAATCGAATCGAGAAATAAAGTGAGAGAAAGGGAAGTCTACGACAGCGTTATGGCGTAGTGTACTTTGTAGTTGACTGCTGTTCGAAGGAGTCAAGTTGGAAGCCTCGGCCACAACAGTAGGGCCTCCAGAAGGGAACCTTGTTCACGAAGCATCTGCATCGAGCGGCGATGTCACATTCTAATAATGACATGTTGCAGAGAGCTTGTTGAAGAAGCTTGACACTTTGACGTTTTTTGTTTTCTGTCCCAGGAAATATTCACTCGACTGTCGCTCCAAGGCAGATGAGTTTCTGTAATGACGGCTTCTTTCAAGTAACGAATCTCCAGTGGTAATTACCTGAATTCACTGGTTTATTAGCATAGGACGAAGTGCCCTTGCCCGTTCTCTTACATGCCTGCTTTCGATTAAGTATTTCAAACAAAAAAAGGTAATTATAAGTACTATATTTAGATGAAATCTTGCTCTTTCTAATCTGGAATTAAACCTGCAAATTTGACATGGGACCTACAGAATCCGGGTTAGTACCGGTATCAATTTACATAATGATCAAATACCCAAAGAGTACGGCAAACTTCAATATTTTTAACTCTCTCTTCAATACAAGCCCGGAAGCGAGCTAAAAGTTATAGGAAGATTCTTGGTTACAACCAAGTTAGAAGTATGAAAAACCCGTCAAGTCATATAGGGGATGAAAACAATGGGGTAACGTCAATAACATCACAATATTATAAAATGTGTTGCACTTCATATGTCTTAACAGTCATATCATGATAGCTATTTATGTAGTTTGTAATATATCTGCCAAAGATCCATAGAAATGAAAACTTTATCAAAACTAGATTATACTTAACCTTAAAATTATATAAATTTGGTTTTGCACCAAGGAAAAACTCTTCCTTTCGACTGATCAGCCCCTATCCGTACGATCGTATGGTCAATATAGATTCTCACTTGAGCCCAAATCTTGCGATAAACAGTGGATATTGGACCTATTCAGCATGGGCAGGATTTTTTTTTATTTTTAGATATAAGATTTATTTTTGGAGGTCACCTGTATCTTTATTGCTTAGTCTTCAGCCAATGTCTGCACTCCGTAGAATTAGGAATTTTTCTTGTTGTACTTTTTGGTTCAAGCCCAACTTATGGACAGCGAGCACCAAACATAGCGATCAATCAGTTGTACATTTCCTTACTTACAAACTGGTAAATGTATATTGCAACCGAGTTTCTGGTTTTGATCAACTTGACCAATTAAAATTCTTTTGACGAATTCAGTAAAAAAATACTAATTCTATTTGAAAAGACTTCTGAGAGTAATGATTTGAGCTGAATTAGAATTCCTTGCACCGTGCACATTCACGATACAGCTTGATGTTGTACGCTTCGTTCGTTTTATCTCCTCTACATGTTCGTGTATGGCTTTCCATATGAGTAGTATGCAAAAAGTCGAGCATCCATGTTTCACATCCAAGATTGATATTATTCAACAGTCACTTTGAGTTTTATTTAAAAAATAAATTTTGAGGTATGGAATATTTGTGTCTCTACTATCAACAACAGTACATATGTGCATAAAACTAGAGGCGGATGATGGAGTATCTTTTTTGAAATGAAAATAGTAAACTTTATATTCAGGAGTCTTCAAGGTTCCATTCTATTTCAATGCGGAATTGTATAAATATCATAAGGTTCGAAAAAGATTCGTAATTTGCATGAAATTGAAACTTTGGGTCGTGATGTGAACTAAACATTCAGGTTCTTTATCGCAAGCCCGAAAGCCCCCTATCAACAAGTTTTAGGAGGACCAAACTCTCGTATAGGGCCGTTAATTAGAATCTTTTCCTTATCTTTTACTTCCATCCATCGAGGTTACCAAGCACGTGTGCTAGCTACTCCAGGGGCCAGTCCAGTTCAGTCATCGGAGATTCGCAGACTCTGATCAAATAAATTTGGCAGCTCTGCACATTTAACCGGTCCTAGTCTCCTTACAAGTGCACATAGACTGTGGCTGACCGGGCGCGACCCAGAGCACTCATGCGACCACTTGTATGGTTCCGGTGCGTGTGTTTGGCCGAGCAGTTCTTGAGGGACAACAGCGGCTGTATCCGGTATTGGTGAGACTCGAGCTCCGCAATTGTTGCTCCTTCAGTAGTCTTGATTCAATCCTCAGTGTTGCAGAGAAGGTGATGCGGTCGAAGTCCTCCGCCGAGTTGTTATTGAATTCAGCAGCTTCGAACGTTCGCGGAGACGTATTTAGATGGGAGAGGTAGAAATCCCGAGGACTCCTTAATTCTGCCGACAAGAAGTTCGTGTTCGGAAAGGTCGAGCTGGTGCGGAGGTACTACGCCTGCTGCTGGAGTGCACTGGGGTGTCAGGGGATTGTTACATTGCCAGTCGTTTTGTTTCTTACTCCTCTGTACTTTGCCTGATCATGGATGATCGAAGCTAGGAAGCCTCGCGAATCGTGATATATCAGAAGAACACTGGACTTTTAATATATCTGTCCTGTGCTCCGAGTGGGACAATGGGAATCTTTCTGTCGACCCTTGAACTTCCCTGGGACCAGGGAGTGTGACGATACAGAATGACTTCTGCGGTAGCGCTGGGAAAGTCGCGAAGGCACGAGAAAATATAATGTGATTTAAGCGACACCTTATTACAATTTAAACATTTGAATTCAACGCTCCAGTCTTTTTCACGGCGCGCCGGTTCCCTGAACGTCTGGATTTTCTGATTCTAGTCTTCTAAGTAGGCGAACGCTTCGAATCCGCTAGGATTTGAATAAAAAAACTGGAACTTTAAACTTTCAGAGTCTTTGCTCGCAGATCTCAAGGAGATGTATTGGCACAGGTCTCGTACAAATTAGAAACCTGAGATCAGCTTGGACGCCGGAAGTGGTCCTGAAGGTTTGAATCCTGCTCGGAAATTGTGTGAATTGGGCGTGCAAAGACGGCAGCGGTGATCTTTCAGGGTGACAGTGGAGGAGGGTACATTGTTTTTCTCTCAAAAGTGCATCCGGTTGTTGTTGGCCATACTTCTCTCCAGACGAAAACTCGGATTCCTGCACTGACGTATGTGTTTACACTGTTTCTGTCGAAGTCTGTCACGACGTAGTTGACTATTGTTGTGGAATCGTTGCGTGTGTTCTGTCATTGAAGAAAAGTGACTTGGATTTGCTGCCAAAGAGATCAATTGCATTGTCTTGCAGGAGTCGAAAAGAGGTAGTTTTCCCTTGAGTGGTTCCAGTAAGATGTCGAATCCGGGTCCGAGCTCGAAGGGTCCTCCGAAAGACCAACTCGAACGAGGAAGTGAGCCTCCTGTGAAGAGACCCAGAGCTGTGGCTCTGGACTTCCAACTCATGAGACGACCTGGGTATGGAACGAAGGGGAGAGAAGTGGCGCTTGTTTGTAACCACTTCAATGTGAGGTTTGAACCTCGAATGACTGTCAACCACTACAGTGTCTCCATCAGTACTCCTGAAGAAAGACTTCTCAGGAGCAATGTGAAGCGGAGGGTCTTGGAGAGTCTTCGTGACACCTACGGGTTGAGGAATTTTGCATTTGCTTACGATGGCGAATCAGCTCTGTTTGTCGCGGGAGACTTGAGCTTCAAATCGAAAGAATTTCGAGTGACCTTGACGAATCGTAGAGATGTTGAAGGGCAGAGGGCGAGATCCAGCGAAGACGAAGCCAGGCGGAGAGCTGGCAACGAGTTCGTGGTCAAGATTGAGTTCGCCGCAGTGGTTGATATGAACGCCATAGCTGCAGTAAATCGTGGAGAGCGTGACAGCAGAGCACAAGACGCTCTCAGGGTTCTGGACATCATGCTCCGGGAGCATGCTACGAAGAAAGCTTACATTCTCCAGCGTGATTGCTATTTTAGTCCAATTTTCGGGCCAGGAGCGGATCTGCAAGACGGCGTGGAGGCGTGGAAGGGTTACCACGCGAGTTTCAGAACTACTCAGAGTGGCCTCTCACTCAACTTCGACACAGCAACGACAATAGTGATCAAAGAGACCCAAGTGCAACCTTTCATGGAGGAGTACTGCAAGAAAAGTATCAGACAATTCCGGGATGAAGATTTTACGAAATGTAAGAGGATTCTGAAGGGTATCTCGGTGATGACTTACTTGAACCAGAGTCACAAGATCATTGGATTTAGTCCAGAGCCCTGCAGCAAGCAAATGTTTGCGTTGAGGAGAAGAGACGAATTGGGTAATATGTTGGACACCGAAGACATTTCCGTAGCAGACTATTTCACAAGAGTTAAGGGCATTAATTTGAAGTCACCTCACTTGCCAGCTCTGGACGTGGGACGGACAAAGAAGCCCATGTATTTTCCAATTGAGCTTTGCACAATCGTCCCTGGCCAAAGATATAAAAAACTTCTCAATACCTTTCAGAGACAGGGTATGATCAGGCAATGCAAAGTGGACCCTGAAGAGCGGGTTAAGAAGATCAATTCTATGATGTGGAAGAATGAGTATAACCGCGACGAATTGCTGGAAGCTTTCAACGTAGTAATCGACAACAAGATGACACGATTCAAGGGTCGTGTTCTAGAGGCTCCACAGCTGCAATTCGGCAACAGAGTCAAGGAAATCCCTCGGAATGGGAGATGGAATTTCAATGTTGAGAGACAGATGAATCAGCCTGCGCAGACGACCAGGTGGATTGTAATATGCTTCAAGGGCAGGCGCCCTGTTGATGCCCAGAGGATAGGAAACGAGATGAAGGATGTGGCCAGTAAGAAAGGTATGAGGTTCGGAGATTTTGAACTCTTCGAAGAGAATGACACCGACCACCAACGAAAGAGTCCCTTGCAGAGGGTAGAGGCCATGACGAATAGGCTTAGGACGACGTTGGTCGACGGAACGGGGAATCCAATTCCAGGTGAGAACCTAAGCACTGTTGCCTTTCATCTACTCCGTTTGCACTTGCCGTGATAAACCGCATAGCACGCTGGTAATGTGAGTAGCAGATTATGCATCGAAAGCAACGCTGAACTCAAAGTCGGGGCGGACTCCCACGTGCCGGGAGTGCTTACCCACTTCACACCCGTTTCCACATACAGGGGCTGCCCACGGATGACGTAGAGTTGACCAGGAAGTGGACCAAGTGAGCAAATAGCCATCTGATAAGAGGCTGCCTGGCTACAGGGGCTACTATCGTCGCTTTATGTATAGAATTAAGTTATTGTACTCATCGTACATTGTTTTCCATTGTTCTGAATTAGACCTCTTCACCCCTATGATCGTAGTCAATGTATTGACATGTAGCAATGCCGTACACGAAAGTTTTTTTACCATTTTAAGTCAAGTTTATTAACTCGTCTACCTCGCACATTGAAACCGAACTTAGATTACTAGTCAATCGAGGGATCCTCACGTCAATGCCCCTCGTTGGAGAGAAACCGTTCGTAAGAGAACCCTAAATTGATTCGTAACCGCAACTTCAACAGTAGTAGTTTATGGACGCTGAACTTACACCGTCTTCTTGAGAACGTGTAATACAATGGAGAATTTTGACATTCCCGATGTAACTCACTTGATTCATGTATGTTGACTTTCTGTAAATCGCTTTTATGACCATAGTCTTTGAGTTTAAAATTGTTTAGGTTCTAAGATCTAATCTAAATTCTGTTTAAATTCCCATCCATTTTTGTGCTCACTTTAACTTGACTCTGTTCTTTATCGGAAATTTTGTCACTCGGGAGTCTTCACTACGTAGTTAAAAAAAAGGCAGGACGCAGGAGCTGTCTTGCCGATGAGTTACAATGGGCTCACTGTAGAGTCGTCACTGGTTCTTGCTTTGATGTCTTTGTAACTCCCCAGCATCCTACCGTCACTGCTAATAAGGGTGTTCTGTGAAGTGTATAGAACAGTCTGAGACGTGCTTAATGTAAGTACAGAATGTCATGACGTTAATTTCCTTGAACGGGAATTCTTGTTTGTATCGCGTTACCTGCTTAGTCATGTGTCACAAAAATATGTGGATCACCGGAATGAGTACACCTGATACAAAGTCTAGCTTGGCTAATCTACGGCATTCAGCAGTATGTGCCTTGTCTAACGCAAACAGTTTGTAGGGCTTTCGTCAAGTATTCTGAATTCTAGTGATTTGAGATTTTGCAGCTCACAAGTTCCCATTCGTCCTGGTTATTCTGCCGGAAAAATCTCCTGATCTATATATCCCTTTCAAGAGATTCTGCGAGACGAAAATGGGTATCATCACTCAGTGTATTGTGCCTCCAAACGGAGGTGTAAATCCGAAGTACCTCTCAAGCGTCTCTTTAAAGATCAACTTGAAGATGGGAGGATATAATTCAATCTTGGTTGGTGAGGAAACCAAGACTCTTCCCAAGATTTCACAGGTATTGACAGCCTTACCTTTAGAATTTTTGTTATGGAAATCTCGCTTTCACTCGAATATGAGCGATTTGTTCCGGACACCCGAATTGTGAAGATTGATATTTGAGAGCTAGACCTGAACAGCAATCTTAGTGTACACTATCTCAGTCATTTTGTCATGAATATCTGTGTCCTTATTTTACCTGCAAAATTTCAACAAATTTCTCTTGAAAGTTGAGTATTTTTCATGAAGTCTTGTGTAAACATTGCAGGTACCAACGATAATTTTTGGTTTAGATGTATCTCACGGATCTCCTGGAGATGCCAATTCGCCGTCTGTGGCTGCAGCTGTGGCAACCATAGAATGGCCAAAGTTTTCTAAGTATACGTGCAGCATAAGGGCGCAGGAACCGAAGACGGAAATGATTGCAGGACTCCATTCTGAAGACACGAGAGAAATGGGTATGGTCAAAGAGCTCCTCAACAATTTCTTCTCGGAGGCTAGAGACCGAGGTAGACCAGATCATGAATGCAAACCACAGCAGATTCTCGTTTATAGAGACGGTGTGAGTGAATCACAGTTTGATCAGGTTCTTGACAAGGAGCTTCGGGCCTTCAAACATGCATGCAGATCCATGCAAGACGGTTACAATCCGAGGATCACGTTCGTAGTTGTACAAAAGCGGCACCACACCAGATTCTTCCTTGATTCTACTTACAAAAACGTCCAACCGGGTACTGTAGTGGACAAAACTGTCTGTCACCCTCGGGACAACGATTTTTATCTAGTTAGCCATGCAGCCATTGGAACCTCCCGTCCAACTCATTACCATATACTATACGATGAAATAGGTTTCACAGCCGATGAACTTCAGATGATCACTCATGGATTGTGTTATACCTACTCACGATGCACATCTGCAGTGTCCGTTGCTGCACCAGCATACTATGCACATGTTGCGGCAGCACACTGTCGAAATTTTGTTGACAGTTCTGGATCCAGTTCGGAATCTATTCAAAGCGGTGCTCATGTGCGACGAGCGGTGGATTCTCTTCCCAAGCTGCAGAAAAATGTCTTGAAGAAAATGTTTTATGCCTGAGCTCGAGTCTACCAAGCTCACGTCAGCAGCTACTTGCTTACGACACCAAGCTGGTCTCCGGGTAATCAAATCCCATGCCAGTCTAGAGGTTATGGAAGAAAAGCCGTAAAAGATCAAAATCCTGTTCTTCAATTAGTCTTGTTGCTGTCCATATGAGTTAGGGTATCCAACAAGCAACAATTTTCAATTGTAGCTGTCTGATGTACACAGGTGACGTGGCGACTATGTATATAATAAAGAGAACAATTTATCGTTCAAGTTGAATGAGTTCCTGTGGATTGTGTTACTTTAGCAATTGTAGGTGCTGCTACAGTCTCAACTTCGGTGGTCAAATGAGAGACTTAAGCAGTTTTCAAGGACGCGGAAGTATGCGATGTGCTTGAATCGAAAAGGAACAGAGTTGTTTGAATGTACGCACCTGCAAAAGCTTAAGACTGGAGTGAGGACTAAGGCTGTTGGGGTCTTCCTTACTTGAAGTAGTGAGATGAGGTAAGTTACAGAATTTCGATGCTCGCAGAGATTGGTGACCCCCTGTTTATTCCTACATATGTGTGTTTGCCGCACGAAGAGGAAAATGTGACTTCGAGTATGATGTCCCGCAGGACCTGACTTGCCTCCGTTGGACAGGGAAAAGTGGCGAATGTAGGTCCCCTCGCCCTCGAGGACTGAAAGATAGATCAAAGTTGTGTCACACACTCCATTCGGAATAGTTTATCGCTAGAAGTTGCTCCAAGTGCTCATCGCACCGTGCCCAGGGCATTGAATCTTCTTCTTTAAGCCTTAACGGTGACGTTCCAGGCTGTGGTTGATCCCCTCCCCAATCCTCTTCATACAGTACGAAGATTTGAAGAGGTCAATCCTCCGCCGATCTGCGACGCGTTGAATGTAGCAGATCGGCGGAGAATTAACGAGGTATCCGTGTGTTAAACAAAAAATATGGACAAGTTCGTCTGAGCCAATTCAAGAGAGTTTTACATGTTTTGATCTGTTTCAGATGAATCTTGAATCAACCATTATCTTTACTACAGATTTCAGCAGGATGATGTATCAGAACAGTACAAGAAAGCTATGATATGCTAATCTTTTCGAGTTCAGTTTCGAGATACTAAACTTGTATCAAGTACTTTACACATGTTATTAGCAACATGAACACGAGAGAGGGTGAAAAAACCTGTGGCGAAAAATTTCCTCACTACTCATGAATCTTTGTACACCAAACATATCGCCACACTTCGGACCTTGTTCTAGACAAATTTAATGTCCAATCTATATGTTTATGCACATGTTGATCTCAAGTGATATGGCCAGCTCGAGCATTTTCTTAAAATACTTGACAATTTGATTTGATATTGACATTTCATACATCCAAATGTAAATACCTATGACTTTCTATGCATTAGAAAGTGTTATTCTTCTCCTAGTCAAAGCATGTAAGGTTTTGCGTTTATCCTTCCAATGTCAAAATAATAAAGTTAGTACTTACATTTTGTTACAAACTTAAATTGTTCACTTTTCCGTTGGTTACAAAGCTTTAGTGTAAAAAATAGTATTGATATTACATGAATTGACTAAAGTTACAAAGTTAAGTTGATGAACGCAACTTAAAAACAGATATGTGCATTCAAGAAATGAAATTTATCTGATTTGATTATGCATCCTATCACAAGAATTGATAACTATTTAATTTAGTTGACGAAAATGTATCATAACTTGCGATAGTGAAGTTATTAGAATTTCTTTTACAGTGATAACCTTTTTATTGAACTTAATCATTAATGATCATTAGAACTTAATGAGAAAAATAAAATATATAATAAAACTTCATGAATCATGATTTTTATCACAACTTTTACCATGTTAAATGTACACATTATTATTAATGATTTTTTTTCAAATGATTAAATCAATAAATAGAAATATTGATTGATAATATTAAAACTTTGAATCATTTATCAATGTTGATTCTGTTGAATTTTTAATGAAGCTTTTAACATGATATAATGAATTATCATTGAAATTAAATCAGTTATAAAAATTTAAATATTTTTCATTCGAAAATCACTTATACCATATGATTGATCAAAATAAAAATATTATTTCAGATTTTTTTAAATTTTTAAATAGTTGATAAAAAAATATTTTTCACAATAAATCAAATATTTAAAAAAATTTATGAGCAACTAGCATGATGAAATTTTATATAATAAGTATAAAATTATATGTATAAATTTTCAAATAAGTCATCATAATAAATCATCATATACTTTAAGTTACATTAAGATGAAGAAAATTTAGAAAGAATCAAATTTTGGCATTTATTTCGGAAAAATTTCAAATATTTTATTCAAGTTTTTTGAAAGATAATATTTTCATCTTATAAATTTAAATGAATTTCATTTTAGATCAGAATAACAGTATTCTTTATATTTTGAAAAAAATATTTTTTAAATTAAGATAGTTTTTATGATGATGTGTCAATGAAATTAAAAAATATATAAAAATTTATTTAAATCTTGGAAATTTTAAATGATATAATTTGAGTTAGTAAGACCAATTTGAAGGTTTTTATAAAAAAATTTGATTTTACTTTTCATTGACAAAAATATGAGTTGTAGTTAAGCAATCATTGCGATGGTATAATCATAATCTGAATAAAATGAGCCATGTAACTTTGCATCAATTTTTTTGTATGATTATGTTTTGTAATATAATTTTTTTTTTCTAAATTCATTAATATCAATGTATGATTCATGATCAATATTGGTAAAATATAATCATTTGATAGTTAAAACAATTTGGATACATATTGAATAATTTGTACTTTGATTAACTTCAATTTCGTGCATAGAGATTAGATAATTGATCTTGCGTATGTATATGTATATATATATATATATATATATATATATATCATCAAAGACGAATGTGAAATTAATTTTCAATTGAAATCATGTGAAATTAGACTCAAATAAGTTGACTATATAGTCAATTGATTTGATTAATTAATTAAATTGGATCAATTATAATAGCTATAAAATTGACATATTTACCAACAAAATATTTTGATGAAGATGAATTGTACTAAAATAATTTTTTCCAAATTTTTTCCAAATTTTCAAGTTATTTGTAACTCGTATGTTATGATGTATGATACAATTTTCAGGTTATTCAATTTGAACTTGAAAATAATATTTTTTGGGAAAAAATATTTTAGTACAATTCATCTTCATCAAATTTTTTTTTTGATAAATATGTCAATTTTCTAGCTAAATTGTATCATACATCAATTTTCAAGTTCAAATAGTTTTTTCAAGTTATTTATATCATTGTTGTTATTAAAATGGATACATACGAGATTACATCTATTAACTTTATCATTTTGACTAGATTTAATGGATACAATAGTAAATTAGATCCATTAAATATAGGCAAAATAAATTTTTTTTACTAGATTGGATGAGTTAACACTTTAATTGAATCATAATAGTAAATTAGATTTTGTAAATACAATTTTCTAATAAAAACACTTTACTTGGATAATAAACAACTTTCATAGTATATTTTGATTACATTTGAATTGATAACTTTCAACATTGGATATATTAATGCATAATTATGTGTGATTTTCAAATTAAAAAATTATAGATTAGCTTTCATATAGAAAAATAAATACAATGTTGAATATAATTATTAAAAAAATTAAAATTCATTGCATTGTAGTTGATAAATTAGATCATATTGACGAATTAGACTTGTGATTAAACTAAATCAAAAATCATAAACAAAAAACAATTGTTATATCTTTTAAGATTTTGAATTGAATGAACAAAAAGTGAATTGTATTCTTTTTAGCTCAACATGATAAGAATAAAATTGATTCGTGCCATATTTTGATTACAATATCAAAAATTTAAATGAAAGTAGTTTTTATGATAATGATATTGAAAACAGGATTATTGTTAGAAAAATCGTTAATATAAAATATATGTGGTATTATTGTAGATTGAAATTATGATTTTAATTACGTTTCTTTATTTTTAACTTTAAATTCAAACATCATTTTGATTAAAAATGTTAATGAATGATTTAAAAATCATGTTATGAATTTTTTTATGAAGCTTATGATTATGCATGAAGAATTGTATAAATGATGATTTAAAAAATATGGACTTTTTTATAGCAACAAATTTTTTTTTCATATGAATAGGACAAATATTTGGCTTAATTACACGATACAATAAACATTCAAAAAATCTGAAGCAACAAAATTATTGCCATGAAGATTATGGAAGTTGAATTTGACATAGTCAAATATGATGGACATGATCAATTCTTTTCAAATTAGTTTTGACCAATAAAACTAATTTTTTGTAACTTAGCAATTTTTTGCAAACAAGATTAAAGAATTTAGTCATTTTATAACAAATCGTGTGATATTTTGCCAAAAAATGTATTAAGTATGCACCAAACTTGTTATTTCTTCTTGTTTAATTCCTGCCGACAAGGAAATATGACTTCATGCAAAAAATCAGTCAAAGATTGACAAAAATAATTTATTACCTTTTTGAAAGAAAAAAAATCAGACTTAGCGGTGAAACTTTTTGAAAATATAGAACCTAATTCGTTCCCAACAACGTGAAGTTGCAAATATTTAGTGATCATTTTTTGACAATCCAAGCTTCGTTATTGTCATCAAGCAAGCATACCGTGTCAAAGTTAATATGAAAAGTGTGTGCTTATCATAACATAACTTCAAATTGCAATGCTTTGATCAAATATATTTAATATCAAAGTGCTCAAAGCTGGAAAATAGATGATGGTGCTAACTCTCGATCAAGATAATAAGATCGCGCAGTGGCATTTTGTCATATTTTTTTGGCATATTAGATAGTTTGTTGTTGGAAATTGCATCATCAAAATTTTTTCGTTGAACGCAAACTTTTGCAAGACATTAAATCAATGAGCTCATCATGCGTGTTACACTGTGTAGAGTTTGATAAGTTTGGTCAAGCTCTATTAGACGAAGCCGTTCAACTACAAACAATACTTAATTACAAATAAATCAATGTAAGTTCTCAATCTATTGATGTCTTATTGATTGGGTTATCGTAATCATTGGTTGTAAATGAATTAATCTTAATCATTAGTTGTGACTTAATTAGAAACAAACTCAAAAAATGTCAACTTTTATCAATTGTTAATACATTCTTCAAGTATCATAGACTGTTGTTTTGATAAGCACAGTTGATCATGCACATGTAAGATCATTTAACTGATGTCAAATGCAAACATATTGATTTCTGCAATGTATATCAATAACATTGATTTGTACGTTTTTCAATGTTTAACAAATCATAATGATCAATAATATTGATTATGTTGATCAGAAGATATGAAAACATTTGTAAAGTTGTAACTCAACATGTTTTAGACAATGTAAAACATGTGTAACTCTATGGTGTAGAGAGAAGTTTATTTGAAGATGAAAACATAAACTCTGAAGACGAAAGATATCAACAATGGTTATACTCTTCCTTATATAGCTATTAATAACAAGCACAAGGAGATAAGATCTCATCACCATGTCACATCATCCACAAGTCATATCCGCCATATCACATCATCCACTAAAGGTGGATTGGTGACATGGCGGATAAACCTAAAAAACACACAGATTGCTAATGTGTAGCTACCAACTAACACATCAACTAGCACACTCAATCCCGACCTAACAAGCACACGGATTGATGACGTGTTCTTTCCAACTAACACACCAATTAGCACACTCAATCCCAACCTAACAAGCACACGGATTGATGACGTGTTCTTTCCAACTAATTCATCAATTAGCACACTCAATCCCGACCTAACAAGCACACAGATTGATGACATGTCGTTTCCAACTAACACACCAACTAGCACATTCAATCCCGACCTAACAAGCAAACGGATTGATGACGTGTCGTTTTCAACTAACACACTAATCAACTAGCACATTCAATTCCGACCTAACAAACACAAGCACACGGATTGCTGACGTGACACAGTAGATATTACACTATCATCTGTTTTTTTT